GACCTGAATGGCTTGAGACCCCAATACCTGTTGGAACATCTCCTCCAAAAAACCCCCACATTTGCCTGTCCCTCCCAGGCCACTTGTTCTTCCTCCTTAGTGGTCCACAGGGTGTCAACTAGGAACCATGTCTTCTTAACTGTGGCCCTAACCCTATGAACTAGATATCCTTTGTAGCTATGCCACGGCCCATCCCTCCAGGTTTTAAGAAAATTAGTGAAGACAGAGATCTTCAAGATCACCTTCAATAATATGATCCCACAGGCAGGGATTCAGTAACCCAGTACTGCTTTATACTTTAATTTTGCTTGTCTTTAGTCATCACCATGTGGTTTTTCTTTTTTATTGTTATCCTTATGCTTTTTCTATCAGTGTTTTTCTTGATTATGCTGATAGAGTGGGGAAGTCGGGGTTTCATTGTCTTATTACGTAAACCACCTGGAATAGTGTTTATACATTTGGTCTTTAAAACCCCAAGGTGTAACTTTCTTGTCGATTTAATCTGGGGGTATGGGTTCAATAGCCAAGAGGACCATTTTAACCTTGAAGAAGTACAGCCACCATCTTACATGAACTTAATAAAAATGCACTGTTCGTGGCCACCACTGGCCACAAAAATCAGTAATAGAGCTGATGCAAAGAGCATTTTTGGTGAGTCCATTGCATAATAATGGCATTTATTTATTTTATTTATTAAATTTATACCCCACCCATCTAGACACATGTCTACTCTGGGTGGCTAGCAATAAAAATAGAATAAAAACAGTATAATAAAATAAAATAAAGAGCAACAATAATAATATAGTTCAAGATGGGGGAAAAGAGGTGGTAAGACCTCTCTCTCCTGCAATGCCTCCTTCACCTTCTTTAAATTAAAACTGTTTACATTAAAATAAATAATAAATAAAAACATTTATTGGCATATAAAATAAACATAGTCAAGCTACTTTGTTAGATTTCTGGATTCACAGGGAGTGTGAAACAAATACATTCACTCAAGGTCAGGGCTTTGCCTCCTAACAATTGACCCAAGGAAAACAGCTACTCGTTCCATAATGTCGACCACCTCCACTGATAACATAAAAACGGACCTTGTCCAGATTGGATTTCCCCTCCTGCTTTAATAATATTGAGTTGACATAGTTTTTGCGGCAGTCCTGATGAAGTGGGCAGTGCAAGAGCAAGTCAGTGAGCGTTTCCAAACCATCCTGCTTGCATGGACAATATCTTTTGAGATAATGTAATGTTTACATTAATCCTGGTTGCCACCTCTACTGGAAGAGAGAATACCCAGCTGAGCTCCAATCCAGTGATACTTGTTTCTCATCATATTCCTGCTGGAGACACACCCTTGCCTTACTAAGTGTTTCCTACATGCTCTCCCACTCAACTGGATAGCTGCTCCAGGCTGGTATTGTTCTTACTTTGCTCCGATCAAACATAAGAGAAATAATAGCTTGACCTGGTGGCTCATACTACCATCTCCCTATATTATTCATACAAAGGCAAAATATATTCTGGATTTAATTACAACTTCAAAAACAATACATACAAAGAATATATAACAGTTTGGTAACTGAAAATATATAACTGAGCATAGAGCCTTTATAACTGATAATATGGAACTGAATGCATAGCCTCAGTAGATACTGTAAGAATCCTGCTTGCCACCACTAAACATCACTGTTTCTAAGCTTGTCAGTATATTTTAAATAACAAACACCATTATGATATTTAGAATTTTTATAAAGTTCTAAATTTTGATATTATTTAAATATTAAAATTTAGATATCTGTATTTTTATTATTTAATTGATGAACTCTTAGAAATGTAAGATGTGACTTTGCATGAATTTTTCTAGAACAGTTAAGAGCTGCAGAGAAAGTCTTCAACATATATTGCATGTTTCTGTTAGTTACATACTAAACTGGTTGCCATAGTTCGGTGCAAGATTGAGGAGAGGCTATAACTTAGTGGTAAAGCACATGCTCTCCATGCACAAGGTCTCGTGTTCAACTCCAAGCATCTCCAGGTATAGGATGCATTCAAATTACAGTAAAGATTCTTAGATTGCAGAGTATCCCGGGATATCCTACAAGGAAAGAGAAAGAATGCATTGCTCCTTCAACCAGAAATGATTACTGTATATACTCAGATATAAGCCTAGCTTTTCAGCAGAATTTTTCTTGCTGAAAAAGCACCTCCTTGGCTTATACTCGAGTCAGTGTCAAAATTACATATTCTCCCCTGCAGTGCAGGTGTTCTCCGGACTCCCCCGCTCATCTATGGGCACCTGCAGCCTCTGTGGGTGGACCATTGACCCGGGTTAAGTACATTGCATTTCCATTTCCAAAACACTCCCATCCTCCTCCTTCTGCATATTCTATGTACCCACATTCCTCCTCCCACCTTCTTCCTCCATCCTCCATCTCCCTCTATCTTGTTACACAGCAGTAGAGCAGCAGATAAGCGCAGCATCCGGTATGAGTTCTCCCTCCACAGGCAGTGAAGTGTGTCTCGCAGCTCAGAAGGGCAGTATCTTCAAAAACATTTAACCTACTGATGCCTCAATTAATGTAATTTTATTGGTATCTATTTTTATTTTTGAAATTTACCAGTAGCTGTTGCATTTTCCACCCTTGGCTTATACTCGAGTCAGTAAGTTTTCCCAGTTTTTTGTGGTAAAATTGGTTGCCTCGGCTTATATTCGGGTCGGCTTATACTCGAGTATATACAGTAATTAAAAGTGTATTAGAACACACACTCTCTCTCTCTCACACACACAGATACATATACACACATGCTATAGAAGACTCTTAGACTTGAAAACTAAAACTTGTCTGAAGGCTAAGCTCTCTAGTTGCTGAATACTTCAGATAACTTTTAGATTTAAGATGAATGTAATGATTGCATAAGGCTGAAACTGAAAATACAGAAAAGTGGCATGATTTTACCAACACAAAGCATGCTATGTGAGGCCCTCTTGTCTCCGTGAAACAGCACTTAAAAGAATGTGGTAATGGGAAAGAAACTATCACTTGACTTATGTGTTGTAAGCAAGGGAGGAAATCAGCAATAGAACAACATGCAGTCATTCGTAATGAAAATATGACAAAGAAGAATATATTTACGGAGGAAAGCAATTTGTCCTTATCCTTGCAATAAATGAGAAGAGGCAGAACCTAAGCTATAGCCTTTCTTTCCGTGCTTTGAAATTTTCAGCCCTCTGCCTCTTTGCTCCCACTCTATCAGCCAACTAGCCCATTGCTTCTCTCTATGATACTTCTTTGATAAAATGAATAAGAACACATTTTTGCCAGACCGTACCGCAGTCCATCCATTTCTGCACTACTGGAACACAAGGTGACTCTTAAACTGAACACAAACACTGTAAACCATGGTTTAAAGGCTATAGTTCTTGCCTGGAATTTTGGAAAACTTGTCAATGGGAAACATAAAGTGAGAACAGCTGAACTTTGTCAACTATATGTATGTTTGCAATTCCTCTCATGAACTCCAAAGGGGAAAAAATACAGTTTTTAAACACATATTATGCTGTTAAACATGACCAGCCGTTCTAGAAGATGTTGTATTAAGTTTTTAAATATAAAAGCCAAAATCCTACTGCAAGTGTATATTTGCATAGAGACATCTTGTTGGCACACTGATGATCACTAACAAACTGATGGCTGCATATCTTCCTGGATACAATCAAGTGGGAGTGCACTTGATTGTATCCAGGAAGACAACCAGTACCTCATTAATGTGGCAATTTACCACCAAGATTTACATAATTTCTCTTATACAAGCAGGTATGGGCAACCGGATTCTGGTCAATGTGTTTAAAATAATTCCCCAGCTAACCTACTTTAGCATCATATTAATCTTCTCTGACCTAAAACTTAAATCACTTGTTTTTTCTAATTTCATTTACATTGACTCCCTTGAGAACACAAAGAAATGTGCAAATCAAGTTACACATTTTTTTAAAAAAAGTAAGGAATATGACTTATAAGAACGTAAGTCCTACAGGACTTGGGTCCAGGCTACCTGAGGGATTGCATCTCCCTTTGAGTTGCCCTTAGGTTCTAAGATCTTTGCAGGAGGCTTCCTCACAGTCTCAGTGTCCTCACAAACATGCTTCGGGCCATTTTGGTGGCTGCTCCAAGACAATGGAAAGCCCAGCTATGGAAATAAGGTTGCCTTATTTCCTGCTGTCCCCACAACAGGCAAAGATATTTTGAGGCAGATATTAAAAATCTGATTTACTTATTAATAATCACTGCTAAGAAAGGGGCATTACTGGGGAAAACTGCATGCTTTTCCTTTTTTTAAAGGGTTTTTATTCAGTACTTTTAAAATGTACGCTGTAAAAGCATACATACTTTTTACCCATGGTAAAAAGAAAATACTGTTCTCATTTCTCTGTTATAGTACTTGGTAACAAATAAATAATAACATTTCCAATATTGCAGTAGACTGTGGGTTGCACTTCTCTTACTGATGCAATGAAAGTTCTTAGGGTAGTCTTTCGGAATCCCTGGCCTACGTTAAGCAGTCAGAACTGCAGTCTTCCAGAATGCAAGATCCCCAGTGATCTGAATTCCATTTTTAAAGTAAAGTATTTGCTTTCCTAAGTTCCAAGAGCTATACAGGCAAACTTAAAGAAATCCACAATTGTGACGAGAACTACAGCTGAAGACAGAAGCATATTAGGAATAATATACATGACAAATAATAGTAATAATAAACATTATAATCATCAATACAAAAATAAACAACACATACTATTGTAAACACCAATGATACTTCTATTGCAAATGAAATTTGCCAAAATCTAGTCTGTTAATAATATGCACCAAAAAGTTAATTTTTATGGCCAAAGCTAATAAAAATAATGTTTCCCACTACATTAAAAAGGTGGGGTTAGTAACTATATATTTAATTAAACATTCCACCTATTTCCGCATGCGATTTATTTTTACTGGACATTTACTTACTTTCATCTTCTTGGTTTTCTGCTGCAACTTCTCCCCCTCCTTCCTCACCCTCCTGGTCCTTTTGTGGCACTTCTTCTGGATGACTCGAGGCACTGACAGAAAGCATGTGGCAGCAATGGTTGAACCCGCTATCCCGTGGCAGAGTATAACTGCGGGGCTTTCCTCCATTCCCATTGAGTGCTTGGATTCTCTCACCCTCTACTAAGGGGAAAGGGCCATAGTGATCCTGCAGGTGGCACTTCTGAGTAGGAAGAGTTGATTGCCGTCTGTGTTCTGGAGATATAACTGCTGAATCAGAGAAAACAGAGTCTTCAAGGGGTAGAGTCTGAAGATAGTGCAGTCCTGAACTTGTCAGAGGTGTTTCTATTAAATCCTGCCATGAGCGTCTCTGACTGGCTGTTTTGCGGATGGGAGATTCAGTAGTGCTCCCGACTGGCTCTTGGCGGAACTCTTCATGTGAAGACTGTGATTGGGAAGTTTCAGTGGATGAAAGTCGGCTATGCTTTGGTTCCACAAAGGGGCTTGTGCAACTCATCTGCAAGATGAATATAAATTCTGTCTTTAGATCAATTACATGTATAGTGATAAATTATACGGACTCAATATGCAAAGGGCATGGCTTATATGTCACAGCACATGACATATATCAGAACACAACGACAGCCACAGCAGCAGCAGCAACTGCGACAATGCATAACCTATCTTCATAATATGAGCTGTCAAAGGCAACAAAATTAAATGCGTCTACAGAACTAAAAATATAAAACTATGGAGAGCCTTCTTGGATAATTACTTCCATAAAGATAGCGTAACAAAAAAAGGCCTAGGACCCATTTAATCCTAGACATACTGATGCAGATATGCTGGACTGATGTCCAAAAACAAACTGATTATTTCACTTTGCTATACTCTGCTATACCAACCAACCACTGATGCTGAAGAGGCTGAAATTGACAATTTCTATGAAGACTTACAACACCTTCTAGAACTGACACCAAAGGAAAATGTTCTTCTCATTATAGGGGATTGGAATGCTAAAGTAGGGAGTCAAGAGATAAAAGGAACAACGGGTAAATTTGGCCTTGGAGTTCAAAATGAAGCAGGGCAAAGGCTAATAGAGTTTTGTCAAGAGAACAAGCTGGTCATCACAAACACTCTTTTCCAACAACATGAGAGGCAACTCTACACATGGACATCACCAGATGGGCAATATCAAAATCATATTGATTATGTTCTCTGCAGCCAAAGAGGGAGAAATTCTATACAGTCAGCAAAAACAAGACCTGGAGTTGTTTGTGGCTCTGATCATCAGCTTCTTATAGCAAAATTCAAGCTTAAACTGAAGAAAGTAGTAAAAACCACTGGGCTCATCAGGTATAATCTAAAACAAATCCCTTATGAATACACAGTGGAAGTGAAGAACAGATTTAAGGAACTAGATTTGGTAGACGGAGTGCCTGAAGAACTTGTTGGAATATTGCAAGATATAACATTCTACCCACTGTGGGTTAATACTGTTGAAGACCTCACCTGTACCGTATAATCAATAAGGCTCTATAAAGCTTTGTCTCCCTCCCTCCCCTTCACCCTTTGATGGTGCTGACTGACAGAGCGAGGTATGAGTTTGTGGTCGCTGCATGAGCTGCCACCGCCTTTAATTTCCTTTACTGTTTTGGTATATTTTGTAGTGTAGTTTTTGTACTTTTATTGTTTTCTTAGGATGTCATGTTTACCCTAAGAAAACTAGATAAAGATTATTATTTATATTTTGTCTCAGTGTCTCAAACCTTTTTTCCAACAGAATTATGGATGGAGGCTTGTAACATTGTACAGGATGAAGCAACAAAAACCATCCCAAAGAAAAGGAAATGCAAGAAAGCAAAGTGGCTCTCCAACAAGGCCTTACAAATAGCAGAGAAGGGAGACAAAATTCAAGGGAGATATGGAAATATACAGAAATTGAGTGCTGACTTCCAAAGAATAGCAAGGAGAGACAAGAGGACCTTCTTAAATGAACAGTGCAAAGAAATAGAGGAAAATAATTGTAAGGGAAAAACCAGAGATCTGTTCAAGAAAAT